CTGACGGTCCCAGTAAAGGTCTGGTCTTTAAATCTGACGGTCCCAGTGAAGGTCTGGTCTTTAAATCTGACGGTCCCAGTGAAGGTCTGGTCTTTAAATCTGATGGTCCCAGTGAAGGTCTGGTCTTTAGATGCTCAGATGTTTCAGAAACTCCTGCACTTCTCGGCTCGTCGGCTGGCGGTTCTCTTCTCCGATCTTCTGCAGCCTCTTGACGCTGTCCTCCCGGTAAAACGACGGATGTTGGATCTCCGCGGCCCTCATGTAATACGTCACCGCCTCCAGCCGCTCTTTTTTACCGTACTGTAAGAACTTGGCGTAATAACTGCAAGCCATCTGCTCTCCTTCGGGATCCAGATCGCTCCTCAGGAGTTCTTGAAAGAGTTCCCCGGCGGCAGCTCGCCGGTTTGATTTAGCGTAAATGTTGGCCAGAGATATCTGCACCCTGAGTGACGAGCAGGGGTAAAGAGCGATGACCTCCTTGTGGAGGCTGATGGCTCGCTCCATCAGGCTGCCTTCCAGGTGCTTGTTGCTCAGGGAGAAGACTCTCCTCTTGTAGCAGATGGCGGCGCATCTCTTCATGTAGCGAGCGTCTCGGTGCCTCTCCAAGGCCTCCTCTGCCAGATGGATTGCTTCGTCCATGGAAACGTGGCTCCTGTAGAGCCGCAGCAGAGGTTTGAAGCCGCTGTAGCTGCTCATCGGCTTCCTTAAAACTCTCCTCGCCAGCTCCTGAGCTTCATCCTGGATCTTCGCTCCTTTCTGAGCTTGAGCTTCCAGGTAGACGGCAGCGAGGTACAGGTTCTCCGGGTCGTGTTCTTTGGCGATTTTCATTTTTTCCACGACGTCGGCGTCCACGTTTCCTCTGTGCTGCAGGACGGCGTTTGCTAACGCTAGCACTCGGCTGGTTTGCCATTCCACCATGTCCGGCTGCATCCTGATGGCCTTCTGGAAAAGATCTGCAGCCAGGAGCTTCTTATTTCCACCGAACTTCATCAGAGTCCAGGCTTTTTCGGCGCAGACTTCTGGGTGGGGCTCGTCCAGGGATGGAGACGGGTATTCGCTCATCAGAGTCTCGATCTTTGACAAGTAGTCCTGACTCTGCGCTTGTTCCCCCAGGAGGTGGTGCAGCCAAGACAGGTTTCCATAGTTCACCACCAGCCACGGGCCCTCGTCTGAGACGGTGTTCCTCAGCTGACGGAGCGCCTCCGCGGCCCGGCAGAGGAACCGCCAGGCCTCTTGGACCAAGCCCAGCTGGCAGTGGAGGAAGCCCTGCAGGTTGTAGATGTGACCCAGCCAGCTGTAACCCTCCTCCGAGCCGATGTCCTCCAGCTCGTCCCGGAGACAGAGCAGCCTGGACCTGCTGACATCCAGGTCCCAGGTGAAGTGGCACTCCAGAGTCTCGAGCTTGGACTCCAGCGTGGACAGACTCCGAGAGGTGCTGATGGAGGATAAGAAGAGCGCGGTTAAAAACGCAGAAACTGAACGACACCACGTGTACACGTTGAGGATGACTTTCAGCTGCTACCACACCGAAGCTTGGCTCAATCTCAGAGCGGTAGACATTTTTGTATACCCTCGTCTGGATTAGCTGTGGTGGCCATCTTGAATTGGGATGGTTCCAGAAGTTAAACAGTTGTAGAATTACATCCAGCAATCTCTCAATGGGAGTTTCATTAGAATCAGCCAAGTAATTCATGAGATATTTTGCTAACAGACAAGCACGATTGACATTAACATTTAACACTAAAGTTTTATGTAAGGATCTTGCCTAAAATGAGGAGATAAGAGTTCTTGTTCAGGATGACCCTCAGCTACTACCACACCAAGTTTTATCGTAGTGTCTGTAAAATTGGCTGAGTTAGAGACGAGAAGATGAGGTGGCCGTGGTGGCCATCTTCGATTGGTTTGAGTCTAAAAATTAATTAGGTGTAAATATACTCCTGATTATTACATTCTGAAAATTTCATTAAAATCATTTCAGTGGTTTGTGAGATATTTTGCTAACAGACACAGTTAACTTTAATAGGAAAATGGCAAATTTAAAAAATCAGACATTGTATATACTGGATACATATATACATATACATATATACATATATACATATATATTATATATGTACATATATATATATATA